CTCATATTGAACCGATCAAAATATCAATGAGCTAAATTTAAGAGTTTAACTTGACACGTTATTTTTAAAATGTTGCAAAAATTAATTTCAAATATTTCTTTATTATTTAACAAAAAGACAATAAAAATAAGAAATTAAGAGATTCAAGATAATTTTGACAATTATTAGACCTCATTTAGCAATAGGATTATGGATGAGGATCAATATTTTTTGTATCCCTGATTTAAATTGAAAAACGGTTTAAAAATAAGGAAAATTACATACATATCCGTTATTATGACTATACTAAATAATTTTCGTTATTACCACTGTGTCTATTTTTTCTATATCAAAATGAAAATTTAAAAAAAAAACGACTTTACACTTTTTTGGTTTTTGAAAAACTAAAATTTAAAATTTTTTGTTCTTCAAGAACCAAAATTTTATTTTCTCGTGTGTATCCTTTCTCTATCTCTCTCTCTATTTTACATGGGTAAAAATGATTTTTTTTTTTAAACTCCCCTTCACCCCGGGACTTTTTTTGGGTAAAATCATAATCCCTGATATTTTTCCTAAATTTAGAGGCTCAAACTAACTATCCCCTTGATTTTATCTTATATACATGATTTCATTGAGGTAGAGAGAGAATACTCCACAATATTTTTCCTAATCTTCTAAGCTCATAATCCCTAAAATTTTTCCTAAATTTAGGGGCTCAAATTAGTTATTTCCCTTTGATTTTATCAGATAACTATGACTTTAGATAACTATGCTTTTAGAAAGGTAGACAGAGTACGCCACAAGAAAAAACATTCTTCGATTATTGAAGAACCGAAATTAGTGTATTTTCTATCATTGAACAACAAAAAATACTTTGAATTCGATTGTTTAACAACCGAAAAAAGGTAAAGTCATCTTTTTTTTAAATTTCCATTTTGACATAAAAAAAACGACCATGATGGTAATAACGAAAAATATTCGGTAGAGCTGTAATAACGGAAACTATAATAAATATATATATTATTTTCCCTTAAAAATAATAGACCTATGGAAATAGAAAAAGCTGTAAACCATGAGGAAAATACTAATTAAACCACTATACTGCTTTACAAAATCATTGATGTGGTCAAATGAACTCATTTACCATTAAAATATTTAAACCATGAGGAAAATACTAACTAAATTATACTGCTTTACGAAATCATTGATGTGGTCAAATGAACTCATTTAACTTAAAATATTTACTTTTCGATTTTCATTTCACCCATATTCCACCTTAGAAATTTTTTTCACAAGGTGGGATAACCTTGAACTAGTAGGGCATTTTGCTAATTTTGGCCCCCAGAACTAGTAGGGCATTTTGTTAATAGTGCCCCCACTTACGTGGCCAAGCCAAATCTACAGGGAAGTGCCAAACATGATAATAAACAGAAGCACCAACATAAATATACGAATTGGTCCTGTCTCAACCAAAAGTTGATAGTGGGCTTCATGACAGAGGCCAGAGTGATACCCTTCATATTTTTGAGCTCGAGCACCAAATCAACAAAGAGTAGCACCCCACTTTGGTCTTGAATCCCTTGCGCTCCTTCATTCATTCTTCATTCAAAATATCTGTGTGCTCCCAGGAATATTAACAACATGATAGTATGCTAAAAAGGAATCATCATTTTTGTACTTTCAATGCCTAAGCCAAATAGATAGCATGCGATAACAGATCTACTTCAGAATTTAATGGCCCTTTCAGTTAACTCTTGAGTTCAAATTTAAGGAAATGATAGATGGTAATTTAACGACAAAGCTGCCCAAAATATGTCTAAGTATTTGCATGCCAAGAGAACCATTTCATATGACTTTGTAGAGATATGTTCACTTGAAACATGTAAATTGCAATTGAAATAAATAAACAGTGCTTCTTACTCTGCAGCAACCTAATGCTGCCACTACATACAAACGTACGTATGTAAATATATGCCGTCAATAGATACATGGCATATATGAAGGTATGCCATACATGCATATCAATAATACGGGTGCACCAGTGCATGGCATAGAGAAACAGGGGACCAACTGCTTATCATGAGAAGTGACATCCCACGTGTATGGAGAAATGAATCATTTTGTATCACATGACCTTCGAGATCCTTTCCAGATCATTGACATCCCACTGGTGCAATTTACATGTTAGAATCTTCAACTCATGAAGGGCATTCTGGGTCTTTCTTCTTTCTTCAGAAGTCATGTTCATGCCATTCTCAGCCTGCAACAACATAGCCAACAAAGAAAAAGGTGAATCTAACAATACTTACCTGTGCAATCTTTCTTTCCATTGAATGAAAAAACAAAATAAAATATGCCACAATGTATAGAACACTGAAAACGCATAAGGTGATCAGCAACTCTAAAGGCAGTAAAGATTGAATTGCACTGATAATGCTCCAGCCTCCAGTATGAGACTAGTTAAATCATGTACATGCGAAATAACAAGCTCATGAATGCAAATTTTGTAGAATTGCAAGGTATTTTAGCGAACACTGTTTAATGAGTATGACTATCTTGGAATTTGGAAAGAGAAGTTATTTAACTTTGAAAGAGGTGAGTCAAAATGAAGATGTGTTAATAATCCCAAATTGTTATAGCTTTAGAACAGCGAACCACCCTTCAAAACAATCGCTATATATGTAAAGCACCAAGGAGCTCATCCATACATGGCAATCAAGAATTTCCCAACATGTGTGGCCCTTAAGTTCCATGTGAAGACCCATTTTTTTATTTAGACGCTTTTTGAGGGAACTTAGTTATAAGGTTTGTAACGAATAATGTAAACTCTTTGAGTAATGATAATAACAACATGATTTTATGGTTCATCAAGAACATAATATTTCACCCAAAAGTTCAATATAGGATTTCTAAAATAATATAACATGTTTATGAGTAAATCACTAATTTACATCCATAAAATACGATTAATTGGATCTTTTACTTGAGGGAAAGAGCATAGCATGCTCCTAAGGGAGCATGTGGACCATATGGGAACTTTGGTTAATGTTTCGATGACGCACATGTGTATTGCAGTAAATGCTCCAAAAAGTCATATTTTATTTTCTTGAAAACAATCATTATCTCTATACCAAAAGACAATGTAACCTTTAATCATTTTAATAAGGAAAAGGTTTACATAAGGTTACAACCCTAAAATGTAGAATTAAGGTGCACCTAAAAAATCCATTCATCTCGACATCGAGATGTATGAATGTGAAAAAAAAAAGATTGTCTAAAAATTATCCCAACTTGCAACACATTATTTGGACTGTCTATTTTCAAGATTTTCATACATTTATAGATCTACTTGATTTGAACTATTTTTAGAGTTTAAAATTTTATAATTAAAGACGAAAATAGATTCTCATACTATCCTAGGACTTTTCGATGCAAAAATTGCATCTCATGACATAGTTTGGGTGGCACCTTAATTTGATTGTTTAAGGTTGCAACCTTATGCAAACCAAACTCTTTTAACAAATATTTCCGAAATTTTATAAATTATTAACACAAGCAGCTTAGTGGAAAAAGTTTGAATTGAATAACGAAATAACTAATTCAATTGAATAAAAATATAAATTCATATTATTTCCCAATATTTATTTTAAAAGTTATAAATTTCATAAGGTTAATTTTTTCAAAATTTAAATTATATTAAGAACAATTTATTTTTATAAGTATAAATTTGAAAATGTCAAAATTTCAAAAATTTAAATATTAAATCTAATAAATTTAAAATTATTTTATAGATGTATGATACCATTAATTAATTGAGAAATTTAAATCTAAACCATCATCTATTTTAAATAATAAGGTGAGTACATAGTATTTATGTTTACATAAGCACTGTAATGTTAAAATTGTAGCTATGTAATCTCACTAATTAATAAATACACTTAAATTTAATTGATATCCAGTTTAAATAAATTCTATAATCATGTTTACTTCTTTAAAATAAATTTCATACAAGTTGCGTGGGAAGCACAACATAGTGTCACCACAAAAATGATGCATTGCACTATTCAAAGCAATTAGTTTACTTAAGATTAATAAAAAGAACTCACCATCAATCTTTGATGACCGTCTGAATGCAATTGGCAATCTTGCTTTCACTAATAAAGGAGATTTCATGGATGAGCTGAACTTTGATGAAGAAAAGAATCACTCAGTGAATTTGTAGTTCGACCATAATTTTTACTTTTTGGGTTTATACTATTTTTTGTTAAATTTTCAAATTTTAAGTGATTTTAATTATTTTATAATTTTTTATTTTACTATAGAGTATCAACAATAGAATGTCTAATTCAATTCTAAAATTATTTTATAAAGTTATTATCATTTTTTATAAATTTAAATTTAACATATTTATTATAAATAAATTTAAATTGGTATTTATAAGTTATAACCACAATAAAGAAGTTCTATTTTTCAAAATCTAGACAATCCAACGCTCATCCCCAATAGAATCTATAATAAAATAATATATCCAGTTTAAATAAATTCGACATTCATGCTAACTTCTTTGAAGTAAATTTCAAAACTGATTTGACTCTGGCGGATTACCGATCCTGATCGATAATTCTTGATTCAGATTTGAGGATTCAAAACATTGCTTACGAGATTTGCCGCCAATCGCTTGAAAAGTTAACAAATAAATATATTTGACTTAAGAAATAATAGTAATTAAAGATAAACCTACATTATAGCCTTGCAAGACCATAATAAAAATCTTCGTTTTATCCACTTTTATACAATCAAAGCCTAAAGCCCTCACGTCAATGTGTAACGCACCCGCTCCTTTAATCTGTGTAATGAAACAGTTCCACATTCATGTTAACTTACTTCGAAGTAAATTTGACATTAGTTTAAGCGGATAGCACAACACAATACCGCCACAAAAACGATATATTCCACTGCTCTACGATTAATTTAAGACAAACTTATAATCTAGCAAGACCATAATATGGGACTTCCATTTTTCAACTTCTAGGCAATCCATAACATACCCGTTTCAACTCTCTAATGAAACAATATATCCAGTTTAAATACTACATTCCTGTTAATTTTTTTAAAGTAAATTTTGCACGAGTTGAGTGGGTAACACAACATAGTGTCACGACAAAAATGATGCATTTTATTATTTTAAACATTAGATTACTTAAGATTGGTAGAAACACAAAAAGAATGAAGGGGAGTGTCTACAAGACATAACCGGGAACCGATGCTTTCTCATAACTGGTTTGATTCCGATGAATTACTAATCTTAAGTAGGAGTTTACTTAGAATTGATGTAGAAACCCACATTTTAATAAAGGGTGAGGTTTGTATAAAGCTGAGGCTCTAAACAATCAACGTAAAGCGCATCTTCAAAAAGTGTCGAAAAATGTGGTTCCAATACTGGAAATCTTTGTGATAGCCATAAAATATATTTTCATATCTAATTATAAAATTTAAAGCTTCAAATATAGTGTAGATCGTGCAGATCTTTGAAAACTTGAAAACCTTGAAAATTGACGGTCCAAAAATGCATTACAAGAAGGACTATTTCCAAAACGTTTTTTTTTTAAAACGGTTAACTTTTGTATTGCTAAATATAGTTGGAGTACAATTGTGGGTTTATCCAAGGGTACCCACTTGACAGCTCCCCCGATAAAACATAGGTCATCAGACCTCGTACAAAAAATGGGCTTATAGATCTGCTCGATTACAATAGATTTACAGTGAGCTTACAAAATATTGGGCTTTTAGGTATGCCCGTTTACAAAGAGAATGTCTACTATGTGTACCCTCTGTGGTCCAAAGCAAAAAAGGAGATGGACCGAGTTTTGTCTTGTTCTTGGGCCCTAGGCCCATCCTGAGCCAGGAAATCGGCGAACTCGTTTGACGTCCTCGAAATATGCTTCCAGAAGACGACCATATCCCTGCAAATGTAAGCAATCTCATCAAAGATCGAAGCAAGGTACCATGGAGGTGTTGACCTCCCTCTTGCCCATGAAATAATATTACGTGCATCTCCCTCCACTAGAAGGTGTCGTCCCCACGACTGATTGAAGCTTTTAAGGCCCAACAACAAGGCCATGGCTTCGGCGTACTGAGAGTCTTCATGGCCCAGGTGCTCGGAGTATGTGAACAGAATACTGCGAAGATGATCTTTGAAGATACCACCAGCACTCGCAGGGCCGGCCGGGGTTCCCCAGAGAACACCTATCAAAGTTAAGCTTGATGGTACCTTCTGGAGGAGGCAACCAGTTGTTTGTTCTTTGCACCTTTCTAGGCTGGTGGTACACGATATTTTCCCATTGACAGAGGAAAGTGTTTGCAGAGATACCTGAAAAGATCTTGTGGTTGGAGGCTCAGAATGTTACTAAGGCCGTAACCTTATGAAAAAGTGCTGAGCCTTGGGTATAATGGCCTTGGAAAATCTTGGCGTTTCTTTCTACCCAGATCACCCATATGTGGCTGCCACGATAGCCTTCCATAAGGTTCGTCCAGCCTTCGGCCAATGTGATGTGTGGTCCGAGGATATAAGGTCCTTGACTGTCCGGGGTGTAACCCATTGGAAGCCAAACAACTGCAATATTTGACCCCAAAGGTTGACCCAAAGGTTGTGAGCTAGGTTACAGTGCATGAAGAGGCGAGGATTCGATTCCTCCTCAGTCAAACACAAGGCACATCTGTTGGGGATAGGAACCCCTTTCTTTTGAAGTTGGTCTATAGTGAGTGCCCTTTGGAAGCACGCTATCCAATTGAAAGTCTGCACTTTAGGGGGGGCTATTGTGGACCAAACCTTGGATAGGACAGAGGATGGGTTAAGAGGGAAGGTTGGGGGTTGGATAAGTTTTTTGTAAAAAGAGGCCACCTAAAAGGTACCAGAGGGGGCAGGAGACCATACCATCAAGTCCTTCCCTTGTGTTGAGATGAAAATGCGATGCAAAGATGCCGAGAGTGAGAGGAAGTGGTTGCTTTCCTCTTCAGAACGGTATCTTCTGAACGAGGGGTTCCACACTCTTCGGCTTCCTGCCAGCACCATTTCCTCAGCAATGGTGGAGTCTTTGTTTGCGGTGATGGAGTAAAGGGATGGAAAAAAGTCCCTTAGAGGCGTGTGTCCTAGCCAAAGATCTAACCAGAAACACACTCTTGTTCCTTCTCTTGGATGAAACCTGATGAATTTTTTGAACAGTGAGAGGGAGGAGGTGAACGACTTCCACGCTCCTGAAG